ACTGCCACTGTTCTATCGAAATTTAAAGTGAATTTCCTCTTATGTGGTATTATTTTTTCTCTGAAACAAAAATCAGGTAAAAAAAAGAATCTGGTAATTCTTGGTTTTTACATTCATCAGGTCCCAATCAGCCCAAATAGCAAAGAGAAATTAAAAATGCATGCCATGAAAGACTTCGGGTCTTAGGAGGATAGTGTATATACACTATGTTGTAGCCTTTATAGGTATTCAACACTGGACCATAAACAAATCTTTTCCTTTACAGTTTGGATGGTACAAGTCAAACAAAAAAATTTAAGTGAACCGCAGAGCTTTTACTGTTGGGGTGCCTGGGTTGTCGACCCAGAGTTTTCAGTTTTACGTTATTATTGAACTTTGATATTATTTATAATTTCTAGTCTTTTGGTTCCTTAGAGTTCTCTGTCCTATGGTTTATGTCTCTGTGTTCCATAGTTGCTGTCTCCCCTGTCAGCTGTATCCCCTTGTCAAGTCCACGTCTCTGTGTTATGTTTCCTGTTTTACTTTGAATGTCCGTGTCTCATGTTAATGTATCTGGTTTTGCTTCCCTTGTCTCGTTAGCCCTGATTTGTCCCAGCTGTGTTTCCTACCTGTCTCCCATTCCCTGATTGCTCACTCTGTGTATTTAAGCCCTGTGTTTTCTTCATTCTGTGTTGTGATCTCCCTCGTCCCACACGGTGTGGTCCATTTGCCAGCCTGCCTGTTTAGTTTACTGGTATTTTCAGATTAGTTATTTTATCTTCAGCAATAAAGCTGTTTTTGGAATACACTTGTTGCCTCCTGGAGTCCGTACATTGGGTCCTTCTCAACTGCTGCACACATCACATGACAGAAGTACAGAACATGGACCCAGCAGACTCGGCTTGGTATCAGCAGTTCGCAGTTTGTGCCTTCCCCAAGGAAGGAACACCGTTCTACGGGTGTTGTTTGGCTCGGGGAGGCCCCCCCCCAATTATAAACTCACCTCAGAGAATTTTGGAATTTCATTTCTGAATGAAGAATTGTCAGGGGTTGCGTGTGAAGGCGAGGAAGAAAGAACCCAAACGCAGGACTTGCCGGTAGGTGAGGACTGGTGATTTATTGCAGAGCACGGAGGAATGAACAGAACATGAGATGGCTGACTTACTGGCCAACTGAAAGACTGACTGAATGGCTGACTGAGTATACAGCACACACAGGAATGACAACATCAATGACACGATGGTGAACAAGTGGGAACAGAAGACTTAAATACACAGACTGATGAGGATGATAATGAGAGGCCCGTGAGTACACAGCTGAACATAATCTGGCTAATGACGCATGGAACAAGATGGCACAGGAAAAACAGGAAATGAGAACAAGTGAAAAATACAGTGAACATGAAGAATGAACTGAAAATACTGGGTAAGCAACCCAGGAACCCTGACAATTAGAAAGGGAGAACTGTTTTCATTTCCCTCCTTCTGTGCTGGCAAAACACTCATATAATTCCCTCTTACTTTGCTGTTTTGCTTCTACAAAGATAAAAAAATCACTCTTCCTGTACAGCTGTTTACTTCAAAAACAGTTTTCTATCTCAAATCTGTTTTCTGCATTATTCGTTTGCTTATTATGCGCAAGTCATGTATAGCACTGTCGACTGCTGTTTTTGTTTGTTTTTTCCAAAAATGACTTACAACAACAAAGCCTCATTTCTGCTGTTTAAAGCAAATAAATTTCAACGTTTTTAAATGATGCCAAATTGCAAAATGCTTAGCTGTGCATGGATATCTGATGGTCTTTGGTGGCAGCTGATCACATGCTAAAACACCCAGAAAATGAGTCCCCATTACTAATTTCTTTTAACAACGCTGGTTAGTCCTATAGTACTCATTTTTGAGTCTGTTGTTGTTGTTGTCTCATGTTTGATATCTCAATGACTGAATCAAAAACAGAATAACAAATGAGTGTGACTGTACGATTTCTGAAACGGGTTTCTAACCTTATGTTGCTCATTTTAATTAAAAAACAAATTCCCTGAATGACCAACATCAGCTTCCAGGTTAAAGCAGAACAATGAGTAACTGGCACCAAAATCCTCATAAGCAGAGGTATCAATTCTGGAGAGTGTAATGTTTAAAGCCATTGTGTCTACAAATCACCACAGACCAATGTAAACAGTATCACAACATGTGTTTGGCAGAGAAAAAGCTTATCGTTTCTAAACACTTGGTGTGAGGATTGAGTGAAGAGATTTTAGGACAGTCAAAGTTTGAGCACTGTGCTCACAGCTGTGACCCATCCACACATTACAACTATGCACTTGTGTTGATAATATTTTTGCCCATCACTCCAAAAAAAACAGACGCTCATAGAAGCTGTTACCACAGCCACAACAGATGCTAAAAATTGCCTGCTGCAAGCCTTAGGGAGTCACATTTGTGTGATTCAGTTACAAATTCTTCTCTTGAAAGGTAAACTCTTACAAATAAATTTGCCATAAGCCCGGGGGTTAAAATATACCCCCAATCATAAAATTGAGGTGAACTGTAGTGAACGAAAATGCACTTTTGTAGTCCAGCTCCTGCACATCTGTAGATAATTACAGGGCTTCACCACAAGGAGGAAGCAGTTCTGAGTATGGCAGGATACTGCAAGTCTTTACCACAAGGTAAAGTTTTTCAGACAAGAAAGAGACTGCAGACTGATCACATCTCACAACTACTCTCTCCACTTTCTTTGTATAAAACAGGTTAGTGTGTTTTCTGATCTCAACACATTTATAACGACACATAACTCTTTTCTATGTTATTATAATGGAGTTTTTATTTTATCATTATTTCTATTTTATTTTTTTCTCAAATGTAGCTCCTAGACACACTTTCTGTCCTAATTTGTATCAAAAGTCTTGAATAGATTGACAGATCTAATTTCCATATGATAGAATGATCACTTATATGATTCACTACTATAAATGGGGTGTCATGTACTCTTATTTTGGGAGATGGCTCAATGTGTTTTTGTTTATTTCTGTTAGTTCTTTTTACATATAATAAGATTAAACGGATGGTTTTAAAAAGATTACAAATTAGGTAATCCCAGTGTTAGCGTTGCTGCACAGATATATTGGTTAAGCTGGACCAGTGCAGAGTTCAGCTGCAAGTTGGAGCATGTTTCAGATGCGACAGATACTTTGAAATCACACAGATAACATTAACCTCTTAGGACCTGGCGTCCACATATGTGGACATCACATTTTGGGTTGTCTCGACCAGTGCTTCCCAAACTTTTTCCAGCCACGTACCCCTTGAGACATGTCACCCTCAGCCGCATACCCCCTGCTACGAACGACTCTTAATTAGTGTCTATAAATGCATTGCAACACCGCATGCATAAAAATAAATACTGCAGTCTATTATTTCTCACCACCAAATGAATTTATTAATATATTTTAGTTATGACAGAATTTTAATAACGAACTTTATTACTTAATACTAGCAGTGTATCAAAAGATTTATTAGAATTCACCGTTTTGTCGAGAGCTTAAAGGCCATATATGAACTTTCATTAAACAGAACTTTATTTAATGTGATGGATGTGCTTGAGCAGAGGCACACAGCTCTTCGATGTTTGGCTCAATTTGGGAAAGGCTGAGTCTTGTTTTCCCCACAAAGGCTTGCTCTGTATTTTGTTTTCATGTTTATTAAAGCAGAAAATTCCCTTTCGCATATGTATGTGGCGGCGAAAGGCATCAGTCTTGGCAGGGCGCTTAGCCAGCGCGGGCTGTTCAGTGCGCAGTCCTATCCAGAAATCCGCCAGGGTCTTTTGAGCGTGTTCAACTTTTAGAGATCCATCTGTGGCGATCTCAATTAGGCTCTCCTGATCAGACGGTGATAACGAAGTAGACACGGCGGTGAACGGGTGACGTATCCAATCATTTGAGCCATTCGTCTCTGGGAAGTATCGGCGTAACTGCACCGCCAGCTCCTCAAGGTGCACGTTACATTCGCGCTTTACACTTTTTAATAGTGTGAGATTATTAGAGCGCAGAAAATCATGCAGCACGGGAAAGACTTCAGTGTTGTTTGTATCCATGCAGTTCTTCCAAAGGTTTAACTTCTTTATCATGGCCTCAACTTTATCTTGAACATTGAATATAGCTGCAGAAACGCCTTGTAATCCAAGATTGAGCTCGTTCAGACGAGAAAATATATCACACAGATAAGCCAGGCAGGTAAGGTACTCTTCATCATGCAAATGTTCAGACAGCTCAAAGGGATGGTTACTGAAGAAAACTTTAAGTTCATCCCTCAGCTCAAAGAAACGGGTCAGCACTTTCCCTCTAGATAGCCAGCGAACCTCTGTGTGGAGTAATAATGTCTCATGCTCGCTGCCCATCTCATTGCACAACGCAGCAAATTAGCGGGAGTTCAGCGGCCTGGCTTTCACAAAGTTAACCATTTTTACACGCGTGTCCAAAACATGTTTCAAACGGACAGGTATTCCCTTTGCAGCAAGAGCCTCTCGGTGGATGCTGCAGTGTACCCAAGAGGCATCTGGCGTGACTGCTTGCACACGCGAAACCACACCTCCGTGTCTCCCAGTCATGGCCCGTGCGCCATCAGTACAGATGCCAACACATCTGTCCCACACGAGTCCATGTGTGTTCATGAATGTGTCCAGCTTTTGAAAAATATCTGCGGCAGTTGTCCTTTGTTCCAGTGGTTTACAGAACAGCATGTCCTCCTTGATGGTTCCTTCATGAATGTAGCGCACATATACGAGAAGATGCGCCAGGCCAGCCACATCCGTGGACTCATCTAGCTGTATTGCTATAACTTTTAATATTAAAACCCAGGACATAATTTAGGAGAAATAATTTATTTATAATTAAATAAAACAGGTATGGGGGTGTTTTGTGTTGGATGCTTTGTGGTGTGTTTTTGTTGAATTGGTTATTTGTGGCAGCTCGGTCTGCGATGCCGCTGCGGGTGAGATGGACTCACCTTCACTGCATCCACAATGTTGCCTTGCCGGTGTTGTGCCAAAAAGTGATTGTCTGCCAAAAACTGATTTCCGGTATTTGCCAAAAACTGATTGCTCGTATTTAAACTGCTATAAGTAACTTGTTGGGCTATAATATGTGAAACATATGTCAAATGCATCCCTCATGGATGACATAAAGTCATCTTGAGCCACAAACAACATTCGTGTAACAAGGTAGAAGCCGCAATCAGTTTTTGGCAGTGACTTTTATATAACCTTTATTTATCGCAGTTAAAAAATCTCATTAACATTAAAAATGTCTTTTGTAAGAGTAAGTTGGCCAAGAGGACAGCAGAAATGGCAGCAAATATTACAATATTTCTGTAAAAATATTTTAAGTGGGGATAAAGGACCGGATTGGTTATAATGTAAGTACAATAGCAGAGAGTTGTAAAGATACTTGAAAAACAGATATTGTTTTAATTCTCTATATAACCCCTTTGTAAACCCTGTTCACCGAAGTCTATTTACGAACATACGTAAAGATATTACACATAAAAAATACACAGAAACATTGGAAATCAGTTTTTGGCAGACAATCACTTTTTGGCACAACACCGGCTTAAAACCTGTGCGCTGCTTGTGCTGTTGATGTGTACTGCTGGCAGCAGGAGGGCTGCAGCCGTTGAATGTAGGCTACTGTTACAGCGCGCGGCTCTGGGCGCGCCAGCGGGACCTGCCAAGCTGGAGACAGAGGTCGAGGTGCATGGGGGTCCTGCCACGCCTGAAGGCGGCATCCTGTCCACTTCGGAATTGGCACGCAGGCTGCATGGTCCTGGGCCGTCTGCCCAGCTCTGAGCCCCGCTCACTTCCACTCCTGCTGCGCCGCTGCTGCTTGCCATATGGGTGGCCATCAGGCCAGTCCCGGGGCTTCCGTTGGAGGCGCGGGCAACCGCCAGAGTGGACACTTCCCCATCGCTGGGCTGGGGCATGGGGCGCCGATTCCCTCGCCTGCTCTCGGGGTGACGTGAAACAGGCGAGGGGGGTATGTGGCAGGGCGTGTTCTGCGATGCCGCTGCAGGTTTGGTGGTGGTGATGTGTACGGCTGCCAGCGGGAGAGCTGAAGCCGTTGAATGTACTGTTACAGCAACCGTGTGATTATTGTAAGAATAAATGATGCTGCGAAGCATGAAAATGCCATCGGGTCTGCCGTGGTGGATCTTTTTTTTTTTGAATCTTAAGTGCACGCAAACCAGTAAACAAATTAAAACAAATACTGTTGATAAACTATATACAAAAATTACAATTAAAATTCTCAACAACAAAAATATATATATATTAATATGTAAACAACTTAACAACCCCCAAAGTGTCTAAGTCACGTGACGTGTCAGTGCAACACCGAAACATAAGAGTGGGGGAGAGGGAGCAAAGTGTGCCTGCTCTCGCTGACACAGGAGCGGTGAGTCCAGCGACCTGGTTGTTTCGTTTTTGCCGAAAGCACAGCATAGCATACAAGCAGAACTCAAAGTAAAGAATCGATCTCACCAGGCTAGTATCGATCCGATGCCGACCTGGGATCGATACTATCGATATTTGGATCGATCCGCCCACCATATGGAATGGACTGTATCGTCTATTTTCCCTCAAATTGTCCCTACTATCTAAAGCAGCAGGGAGAATGAGGTCCTCCACAATAGTGTGGGGTTTGTTGTTTTTAGCCACTCTGTAACTGACCATGTAAGATGCTTGTAGTCTGTTTTTATTCATAAGATCTGGCACCTGAATGCAGGTTTTACTTGTTGAAAGTGATTTTAGCTGTCGCTCAAAATATTCTCTTGGTTTATTTTTCAAATGGGGATGATTTGTCTCTAAATGTCTGCGCAAAAGTGAAGGTTTCATTGAGTTCTGAGACAATACTTTTGCACAAATAACACATTGTGGCCGGGAAAATCCACCAATATTTATACACGTGAACCCCAGCGAAATATAATTGTCATCATATTTGCGTTTCTTTGAGGTTGTGTTACAGTCCGAGCTGTCATGCTTTCTCCCACTTTGACGCTCTGCATCACACACTTCATCACTTTCCACATGACTGGCTCCAGCTATGCTAGCCACTTGGCTAGTAACCACAGATACATCTTTTCTTTGCAAGCTCCTTTGACCACAGATACATCTGTGCTAGCATCCAAATCTGACAACACATTGTTGATCACCTGTGCGGTCACTAGAAAATGCATCTTCAGATATGAGCTGATTGGTTGTTGTGGTCGGTGTCTCTGTGGTAGGGCCTTTTTTCTTTTCTTTTCTTTTCTTTTCTTTTCTTTTCTTTTCTTTTCTTTTCTTGTTAACCACTTGTCCATTTTCGTGCTGCACTGAATGCTTGGAGGCAACTTCAACTGTTGGGCGTGACTTGCCCAAATGACTGACACCTATGTATTTTGTCAGAGCTATTGTTTTGCTGAACACCGGAGGGTGGTGCTCTACAAGGGCCTGATATAACTTACAAGGACATGTATTTGATAGCTACATAAAACTTCGGCTTTTAAAATTTTTGATCCTCACTCCAACCCCGACCCGCATACCCCCTACAGCCACTTGCGTACCCCAAGGGTATGCGTATTCTAGTTTGGGAACTACTGGTCTAGACCAAAATACTAAATTTTGCTCTACAAGGGCCTGATATAACTTACAAGGACATTATACTACCAGTGTTCTATGGAAATTTAAAATGAATGCCATCATATGTGGATCTAATTTTTCTCAAAAAAAAAATACTAAGAAAAACGAATTCTTTGTTTTTACATCAATCAGTTTCCTTTATGTACTTTAACCCTTTAAGACCTACCATAGAACAAAGTCCGCCAGAGCTTATATTATATTATGACATGTTGTAGTGCCATTTTTGGGAGCATTTCAAGTTGATATACATCAATACAAACATTATAGCACAAATTTTAATATGTCTGCATCAATTGCATAGTAACTACATAAAGTGCAATAAACTACAAAAAAGTTAAAATCGTTTTTGTTTTTTTTAACATATATTTCTAGTTGGAGAAATTTAAGAGGGTTATCCCACAAAACTGTAAATCCAAAATAGTTTCCCACCGCAGGAAATTTATTTTGAGTGTGTTCATAGTTTTCTTTTTGAAATACACCAATTTTTATATACTACAGGAAAAACGAAAATAAATATAATGCAAATTTGCAAAAAAAAAGCATATGCATCAAAATAAACTATATTGCACTAGCAGTGCAATATGAGTCCTAAGAATCCCAGAAACGACACAGAAAGTCATAAAGTCAAACATAACTTTTAAAAACACCAGTATAGGCTCATAAGGCCCTGATAGTAAAAAATTACATTTCCGCAAAATGACATCACTTCCGGTTTCGGGCAGGTCATGGCGGACATGCGATAGTTCACGCTGATGGACATAGGAAGTGTTACAAACAGCTGATCGGATTGGCAAAGCGTGTTTCTGGAATATTATGTTTGTGTTGCTGCAAGCGCTTTTTATGCAGTTTTGCAAAGCTATATGTAGAAGGAAACTGTGACCTAGGACAAGCTGATGGCATACGATGTAAGTAACTCCTTCGGTTTCATATGCAAAATAAATGATTGCGCTAGCTTATGTGGTTGCAGTGCTACCGGGATTTAAAAATAGTTTTGCAAAACGGAGCATGCCTGCTCTGACCGGCTTTGAAGGATTAATCAGAAGGAAAAACAAACTAAGAAAAAAGGTAAACTGTCATGATAAGCATTTTTGTGTTTTCTTGTATTTTTGTGTCCAAGTCCAAAGCAAAATGTTCACGAAAGGCACTGGAGCTGAGGAAACTCAAACTCAAATTCATAAAAAGTTCAGGGGGCCGGCCCGGAGGTTGACGGCACAACAGTCCATGCCAAAACAGTTCAGGAAGTTAACCCATAGGTCGACGTTACCAAATTTCAGAAAGTTCTGGAAGCCGACCGCGGAGCCAGCAGTGGCAACGGAACACTTCTGGAGGTCGACCGCGGAGCCAGCAGCAGCGACAAAGCAGTTCTGGAAGCCGGCTGTGAGGAAATTGGTGGAACTACAAACCACAGCCTTGGTCAGCACTGGTTCAGTAGCTACATTCAGTAGCTTTAAAAACACGAGAAACTGTTTTCAATTCTGAACTGGAAACAGCAGAATCTGTTCTTGTAGTTCCAGACTTAGCAAGAGCTCGTGGAAAAGAGTCAATCTCACTCACTGAGATGGAAGAATCTAGAGTGGAACCGTAAATCCTGGCACTGGGATTTCTTCAGCAGGTGGCGAATCCTCATTAACAGAGTTCGGCAGCTGCTGAGGAAGTCCAGGGTTCTGAGCATGGTGAAGAGAGCCGGTGCGTGCCACAGACGGTGCTTCTTCCTGAAAGCAGGAGAGGCGAAGGAAAATGAGTCTCGGAGCAGCAGTGACTGGCTCCTCATCCTCTGACCACATTCCTGCCAAGCATGAGGCAGGTGAGGGGTTGTCAGAACAGGACATGAAGGAAGAGGGATTAACAATTTGACTCCAACACATAGTGTACCCTGTTAAGTGCCAGGAGGATTTCCAGGATTTATATATCGGGGAAACCAAACAACCTCTGGCGAAGTAGATGCCATAACACAGAAGAGCTACCTTGTCAGGCCAGGACTCCTCATTCTATTTACACCTACAGGCCAGTCGACACTCTTTCAATGATGAGGATGTACAGGGAGGAACACTGGTTTGAGCCGGGAGTCAAGAATGCCATTTATGTAAAAGGGAAAGACCATCTCTGAATTGAGGAGGGGGCCTAAGGGTACATGTTTCGCCATCTTACAATGCTGTGATTGCAGCCATTCCCCAACTCTCTGTGAATGGTACTCATGGCCATTGATCAGTGGGCTTTGATCAGTGGTTGTTGATCAATGGTCATGAGAATTTGCTTAATTATGATGAAGGAACTGACCTCCCAGCCCATTGTTCCTTCAGTGGCCCGGTTTCAGTCATGGTGCAAATGCACTTCTTATAAGAGTGGGGAAACCTGCAGTCAGCTGAGTCTGAAGAAGTCACTTGGATGAGTAACGAAATGTTTCTCCCACTGAAAACGCTATGTCCAGATGAACAGAATTAACTTTTGGAGATGTGGAAGTAACAATTAGTCCAAGCATGTTTGTAGACATTAGTTGCATCCTATCATTAAGGCTAAGGTCTTGTTTTGAGTATCATTGTGGTAATAAACAGTTTGGTCTTGTTTGCAGCGTGATGACGTGATTCTGTATGGTCATGTGTTATCACATTGTTAAATCTTGTGTTTTGTAATGTATCTACAGAACGGATCAGATCCTCTTTCAAGAATATCAAGGTGTGAAGATGCTTCAGAGGAAACCATTAGTTTTCTTTGTCTTGCTGTGTGCCACTGCCATTGGAGTCTTTTCTAGAGCTTCATGGATTTTAAATGTGTACCAGGATTTCTTCCTCCCTCAGAATGAAAGTGTTTGTTCCTGCAACAAATGTTTAATGGAATATGACCCATGGCTTAGTGAACTTATGAAAGAATCTCCTGAGCCCTTTCTATCACCCACAAACAATATCTCAGAGAATACATTTAACTGGTGGAAGGTAAATGTTAACTTTTGTATTTTAAACGTATGTATGTATACTTTTTTACTGATTTCAAAGACAAGTCATTATCATCTTTTTAACCACATTTCCAGTGCTAATAGGGATTCTTTTTAAAATAAATATACTCTCAGAATAGTCAGTTAGTACAAAAAAGCTAGTGAACTCAACAAATTAATTAATTACTTTTGTTATGTCAGGGCATACAGACAGACAGACGCAACTTCGCTTTGTACAATAAAACAGTGGACAAGGTTTTTCAGATCTTCCCACCCAAAGTCAATTTCACAAGATCCAGCCCTGACCTTTGTAGAACTTGTGCTGTGGTTGGGAATTCTGGTAATCTCAATGGATCGCATTATGGACCACTGATAGACTTTCATGATATTGTTATAAGGTAAGAGTAGAACATACTGTTTTGAAATCTTCATGCATGTGTTATCTTTAAATATCTGTAAGCATTGCTAAAACTTTAAACTCAATTGAATAAGATATTTTCTTTCCCCAGTATGGATGTTCATTCTACATATATCATCCAATAGATGATAATATGAACAATATATCCTCTGTGCTTTTTAGAATAAACCGTGGGCCCACAAAAGGCTTTGAAAGAGATGTTGGAAACAAAACAACATACCATGTGATGTATCCAAGGAGTTTCAAAAATTTGGACAACACCACACATCTTGTGTTTTTTCCATTCAAAATTTACGATCTACAGTGGCTTATCCGGTCTTTTACTCAAAGGTATGTGTGTATTACAAAGGTGATATTTTTATTTGGTCCTGTATCTTGGTGATTTAACATTTATGATTTGAAAGTGTAGTCTGAATGCATAACTGCAAGACAAAACCCTTTGAATATATACTTTTGTATATTTAAAAAAGAAAAAAAAACAGCGAAAAATTATGTTTTATATTTTCTAAAAGAAAAAGATGAATGAAAAAAGGAGAGCCCACAAGAAATAAAAGTAATGGGGAAAAAAATTATCAGAATCCGAATGCATTTATTAGCCAAGTATGCAGGCACAATGTGAATGAATATGGTTCCGGTCGCTGGTGTCTCTCAAGCACAACAATGTAAAATACACAATATATGAATGACACAATGAACAATATACATAAACCACAATATAAAAACATCTAAATCCTTATATACAGGAAATACAGGATTACAGAAATGAATACCACAGAGTGTACATAAACTGCAGTTGCAATGTGACAGTTCAACGGTTTAGGAGGGAAAGGGCAAGGGGAAAGAAACTGTTTCTGTGTTGGGTGGTCCTGGTCTGCAGGCTCCTATACCATCTGCCAGAAGGCAGCAGGTCAAAAGGTCTGTGCCCAGGGTGTGAGGAATCTGTGATGATTTCCCCTGCCAGTTTTCTGGTTCTTGAGAGGTACAGGTCCTGGATGGAGTGCAGGGGGGCTCCAATGACCCTTTCTGCTGCCCGTAAAGTCCTCTGTAGTCTGCACCTGTCCTTTTTAGTGGCTGCTCCATACCAGACTGTGATGGAGGAGCACAGGACAGACTCAATGACTGCAGTGTAGAACTGGATCAGCAACTCCTGTGGAAGACTAGACTTCCAGAGACAACTGGGGAAGTGTAATCTTCTGCTGGGTCTTTCTGAGGATGGAGGAGATGTTAGTCTCTCACTTCAGGTCCTGGGAGATAGTAATACCCAGGAACCTGAAGATCTTCACAGTAGACACTGGGTGGTCTGATATGGTGAGATGGAGCAGTGTTGAGGGATGTCTCCTGAAGTCCACTATTATCTCTACAGTCTTAAGCATGTTCAGCTCCAGATTGTTCTGACTGCACCAGAGTACCAGCGGCTCAACTTCCTGTCGATACTTACAGAAAGACATAAAAGAGAGAAATAGAAAAGTGACATGTATTGAGGTAGGTCGGAGGGGTGACAATGTAATTTCACATGAGATAAAGTGGCAGGAGTGAGCAGCAGTACAAATTTGAGCCGTGCAAGACTAAAAGTGGCAAGTAGTGCAATATTGTCTCAGGAAGGGTTTGTTCCCTTCGCCTCCGGGTCGGGGAATGGATCCTGACCGTCGTCTGTGCTTATGCGTTGAGTGGCAGTTCAGAGTACACAGCCTTCTTGGAGTCTTCTTGGAGTACTGGAGGGTGCTCCTCCTGGGGACTCTGTTGTCCTACTGGGAGATTTCAATGCTCACGTGGGCCATGACAGCAAGACCTGGAGGGGCGTGATTGGGTGGAACGGCCTCCTGGATCACCAGACCTGAGGCCACATGTTTGGACACTAAAAGTAAAGAGAGGGGCTGAGCTGTCAATTGATAGTTGGATCAGGTGGAGGGGGAGGACAATGGACACCCTGGTGCACCTAAATGCACAGTGGGGGTGTGCTGGGAATGCCTAGCAGAAGTCTGTGAGATCCTCAACAACATTGAGTCAGAATGGACCATGCGGCCGCAGCTCAGTGCAGCGGCTTCTGCAATGGAGATGCTGAACAAGGTAGTTGGTGCCTGTTGTGGTGGTAATCTCTGAATCAAATGGTGGACACCAGAGGTGAGGTGAGCCACCAAGCTGCAAAAGGAGTCCTACCGGGCTTGGTTAGCCTGTGGGACTCTGGAGGCAGCTGGTAGGTACTGGCAGGCCAAGCGGAACGCAACGCGGGCTGAAGGTGTGGGAGGAATTTGGAGAGGCCATGGAAAAAGACTTTTGGACTGCCTCAAAGAGATTCTGGCAAACCGTCAGGCGACTCGGGATGGGAAAGCGGTGATCTACCTGCACTGTGTATAGTGCGGGTGTTCCAACTACAGGCGAATCACACTCCTCAGCCTCCCTCGGAAAGTCTATGCCAGGGTGCTGGGGAGGAGAGTCCGTCCGTTAGTCAAACCTTGGATACAGGGGGAACAATGCGGTTTTCGTCCTGGTTGTGGAACACTGGATAAGCTCTTCATCATCTCTAGGATTTAGGGTGCATGTGTTTTGTGGACTTGGAGAAGGCATTTGACCGTGTCCCTCGAGGGGTCCTGTGGGGGGGTGCTCTGGGAGTATGGGGTGTCTGGCCAATTGCTACGGGCCATTCAGTCCTTATACAACCATTGGAAGAGCTTGGTCCGCATAGCCAGCAATAAGTCGTACTCGTTCCTGGTGGATGATGGGCTCCGCCAGGGCTGCACTTTGTCACAGATTCTGTTCATAATTTTTATGGAAATAATTTCTAGGCGTAGTCAAGTGGCAGAAGGCTTTCACTTGGATGGTCTCAGGATCTCATCTCTGATTTTTGCAGATGATGTGGTTTTTTTGGCTTCCAGCTCACCTTGGAATGGTTCGCAGCAGAGTGTGAAGCGGTGGGAATGAGAATCAGCACCTCCAAATCTGAGTCCAGGGTCCTCAGCCGGAAAAGGGTGGAATACCCACTCCGGGTCAGGGACGAGATCCTGCCCCAAGTGGAGAAGTTTGAGTGTCTCGGGGTCTTTACGAGTGACAGGAGAAGGGAACGGGAGATCAACAGATGGATTGTACCAGACATCCAAGAAAGGGTCTCCAGTATAAAGAGTTGGACAGCACCAGTCCCCAACATGGTACACACCTACTGGCTGAAGAAGCTGACTGCACTTCATGAATACCTGGCCGCACAAATGAACCAGCTGCTAGTTGACGAGAGACACCCGGAATGGCTTACCGAAGGCCAGACAGTCCTGATCCTGAAGGACTCACAGAGGGGACCGGTCCCATCGAACAACCAACCAATAACCTGCCTCAGAACCACATGGAAGCTCCTATCAGGCAGATGAACAGGCACATGGCTCAATACATGAGTGGGACACAGACAGGGATTGGCAAAAATACCAGATGTGTAGACCGAGCATTTGCCCGAGACTGCAAGACCAGACTGACCAACCTGTGCACTTCCTGGATTGATTACAAGAAGGCCTATGACTCGATGCCCCACAGCTGGATACTGGACTGCCTAGACCTATACAAGATCAATAGGACCCTAAGAGCCTTCATCAGGAGCTCAATGGGGATGTGGTGGACAACACTCACCATCAAGTGCGGGATCTGTCCCCACTACTGTTCTGCATAGGCCTGAACCCCCTCAAGGACATCATGGACAAGACTGGCTACAGATACAGACTACGGAATGGAATAGTTATCAGCCACGTCCTGTACATGGATAACATCAACCTGTATGCCAAGAGGGAATGAGACATCGATTCACTGAACCACACCACCTGGATATACAGCAATGACATCGGAATGTCTTGCGGACTAGAGAAATGTAGTCGGATGATAACAAAGAGAGGAAAAGTAGTCAGAACTGAGGGGATCGAACTACCAGAAGGCAACATCGCAAACATTGCGGACAGCTACAAGTACCTAGGGATCCCACAGGCAAGTGAGAACCATGAAGAGTCCGCTAGGAAAGCTGCAGCCACCAAGTGCCTACAGACGGTCAGCAAGTCCTGAGGCATCAGCTGAATGGTAAGAACAAGATTCGGGCTATCAACACCTATGCCAGGGGTGGCCAACTCGGGGCCTCGAGAGCCGGTGTCCTGCAGGTTTTAGATGTGTGCTTGATCCATCACAGCTGATGACTAAATTGCCTCCAACATATCTTGAAGTTCTCCAGAGCCCTGGTAATGAACTAATCACTTGTTTCAGGTGTGTTGACCCAGGGTGATATCTAAAACCTGCAGGACACCGGCTCTCAAGGCCTGGAGTTGGCCACTCCTAACCTATGCCCTGCCCGTAATCAGGTACCTTGCTGGGATAATAAGCTCGTCAAAGGAGGAGAAAGAAGCATCAAGACAAGGAAACTCCTAACCATGCACGGAGGGTTTCACCCCAAGTCCAGCACCCTGAGGCTGTATGCTAAGCGGAAAGAAGGAGGCCGGGGACTGCTGAGTGTCAGCACCACGGTCCAAGATGAGACAAGGAACATCCACGAATACTTCAAGAAGACGGCCCCAACTGACCCCGTGCTGAGTGAATATCTCAGGCAGCAAAAACTGAAGAAAGAGGAGTAAGACGAGGAACCATCATGGAAGAGAGGCCCCTGCACGGTATGTACCACCGGCAGATAGAGGTGGTGGCTGATATCCAGAAATCCTACCAGTGGCTGGACAAAGCTGGACTGAAAGACAGCACAGAGACACTAATCATGGCAGCACAGGAAAAAGCTCTGAGCACAAGATCCATAGAGGCTGGGGTCTACCACCCCAGGTGCAGGCTGTGTAAAGATGCCCATGAGACAATCCACTACAAAACAGTAGGGTGGAAGATGTTAGCAGGCAGGGCATACATGGAACGCCATACCCAAGTGGCCGGCATAGTATACAGAAACATCTGTGCCGAATACTGCGTTTCAGAGAATTTGGCAGTACATCCTAGACTTGTAGTCAAGACTTCCTAAACCAAGTCCAAGATGAGACCAAGACCAAGAAAAAAAAAGTCTTTAAACTGCAGCCAGATGCTGCTTTTGTCAGGCATATTTATGGCCTATATTTGTATAGCGCTTTACTAGTTCCTAAGGACCCCAAAGCTGCAGTGTGGCTTAAAAGTTGTGGAAGTGGGTAGGGGTGAGCTGCCGTTTCTTTTGATCACCCGTTTTCTCCTGTTTTGACTTAGTTAAGGAGGTCAGACTCTTTATTTTTGACTTTTGTTTTGGTAAGGTCAGGGGTGCGGGATTTGTGTAGATTTGTTTTGTTTATTGTTTTGGCCTTGGCTCACCCTGAAGTGTTGACACTCCCGTTTTGTTGTTCCTT